TCGTAGTGAGCGGGCAAGACAATGGTACATGGACATCCTTTCCCAATTTATTGGAATAAAGCAGAGTCATAGTATCAGGCTTACTCTCAACAACTAAATCGGCCACACAGGAATCTGGAACAACCACATCCCACTTCTCCACTGAAGGGGTACTGGTTACTGGAACAAATGCTTGAGTAACAACATCAGAACTGACAACTGGATTTATATTAGTACTGACATCAGCACAGGTAGAATGGACAAAACCATCTTCTACAACAGGTTCATTCATAGAACTAGCTTCAGCACAGGTAGAATAAACATGGTCTGCAACTGGCTGTTTACACAAACGGGGATCAATCTCACCCACAACATGATTTATGGCCACATCATTACCCAATATAACATCCACACCTGGGATGGGCAACTGTGTACTAACACCCACAGTGCATAAACTTGGTGTAATGGTGGATCTGAAATTAATGTCTATTAGAGGTACAGTTTTACATCCTGCAACACTCTGAAGAACAACAAACTTTCCAGTATCTCTCTTTTCAACATCAGAAAGAATACTGGATGAAATTATGGTTTGGGAAGCACCTGTATCACGAAGAATAACCACTGGCTTCCACTTCCCATTAATACACAAAACTTCACCTGAAGACATATATGGTGAATACTGTTTCACCCAATTGGGGTTTACAGTTACATGTTTATTAGTAAGTTTATTTTGCACACCTCTGCAATAAATGAGACCAGTTGGTCGTAACTCAGGGTGCAATATAAAACATGAATGAATTCCATGGCCTTTTCTCTTACAATGGGAACAGGACCTTACAGTGGACACACCTGTGGAATCAACTGTAGGTTTAGAAATAACCTTATTATTATTTGACATTCCTGACAAGGAAGTAGCAGGATTAGGTTTTGTAAGAGAAGAGCTCATGGGAGTAACTGGAGTACTAGGACGGGATGGATTCTGATAAGGAGTTCGGGGAGCATTATAATTTACTCTACGACTAGACTTAGGTGAAGTGGCCGTAAACTGGGCCTTAGTCAACAACTCATGCTCATCCGCGAGCTTTGACAGCTCATAAATGTCTGTTACATTCTTTTGTTCTGCCATAAAAGTAGACAACTGGTCTGGGAGACATGACAATACTTCTTCCATTATAAGAAGATTCTTTAGGGCATCAAAGTCAGTGACTGAAAGTGACTTTAACCATCTGTTGCAAAAGCAAAAATTCGTCTTCTGACGAGTAAAATCTGCTATTGTCTGATCACTTATCCTCCTTAGATTCCTAAACTTTTGCCTGTGTGCCTCTGGATTTATTTGGTATGCATTTAAGATGCTTTTCTTTACAAATTCGTAATCAAAGCTATGAGCGTCAGGTAGGGATGTAAAAACCTCCTGACTACGCCCCTTAAATTGAGACTGCATAATGGCTACCCACTGATCCCTTGGCCAGTTCATACTGATGGCAATTTTATAAAAATGTGCAAAGAAAACCTCAGGATCCTCCTCATTGAACTTTGGTAACTCTATATACTTATGCGTCCTGATGGGATTATTATCACTATTTATTGAAACATTACTAGTATTTCCATGCCCAGCTGCCATACGCTGTGTTTCAAGCCTGAAGTTAGTGTCAGCCATTTGTTGTTGAATCTCTAGTTGCCTAGTTTGTTCCTCGGCTTGTTGCTTTTTTGTGGCTTCTATTTGCAACTGTGCCTCAATTTCTAAACGTCTAGTCTCAAGCTCCCTCTGCTGAGCTTCAGCCTCTAATATTTGCTGTTCTTTTTGAGCTTCAAGTTCTAATCGGCGAGCTTCTAACTCAAGACGCTTTAACGTCATCTGATCACTCGACTCCTCTTTTAACTCTTCTAGAATTTCTTCATCTAACTCCCCATTCTCAACAAAATGTGTCACAATGACTTTTAATATTTGGGCTTTAACCATTCTATTGTTGGCGGTCAAATCCAAATGATTTGCCATTTGTATTAACTCAGTCTTTTTAAGGCTCTGAATCCTTTCAAAGTCTGGGTGAGCCACCAACGCTGCAACTTTCTCCTCCATCGTTACTAACACTTGGCACTTGATTCACAACAATAATTAAAAACAATGGCACTGCACTACACTTCACTGTAAAATTGTCACCACACTGAAAATTCGCTTGGCCTCACTGCACAAACAAAATATATAGGATGACTTACCTCAAAATCGTGAAACGTTGTTACTTGACACACAGGAAAGCTTGCTTGGCACATGGAATAGTTCTTAAGAAAAACACAGACACTTAACACACTGGTACCTAGGAAGGCAAGGTTAGATTAGCATAATTAAGGTTAAGTGGGAACAATATCTCCCGGACAGGCCCCCATAACTCTTTGTTACCTATCGTTCGTTACGGCTCGTGACCCTAAAGCAGCCAAGCTTTAATTACGTCTAGGGATACCACTGCTGCTCTCTAAAGCAGATCACCAGTATAACCCCTTAATAAGTAATGAGCACATAAATAAAAACCTTCCTTTAGGACTGAAGAATAGATACAAAATATTATATAGATATATATTCAAGACAGTATAATATAAACACACAGATGGTCAAGTAACTTATACAACAAACGAAAGTATTGTCATATCACTTAATATAACAAAATAAAATATGGCACAACATGAATGTACAGACTTATCTCCCACATGTTACTCCTTCGAGTCCTGTTCAGCTACTGAACTCTCACTCTGTCGCCACCCACATTCTCACCTCCCGTCTGCCTCATCCCAGGATGAGGGATGGAAACTAAGGACTTTTTAATATTTAAAACTAATTGAACAACCATTTGTTCTCAAAACACATAAGACTGCAAATTACATATAATAGTTACTTACAAAATATATAAGTATAATGCCACCTGTTTAATTACAGAAAATAAACAATTACCTAAACTAAATAAAAGTGATATCTGGAACTCCCAAACTGAACAGGTCCAGCTTTCCCGTATCTCACAGGTACTAGACGTGTGCAACGCAACCGCGCTCCTGTCTCCACTAACGCTGCCACACCATACGACAATTTACAAAACACAATGTGTGTACATATACATGCAATGATATAATGGAAACAAAAATGCTATTTCAAATTTATATACGTATTCTGCTAGGAGTACGTAACGTGTGTGTGTGTGTGTGTGTGTGTGGAGGAACTGTTCCAAAATATATCCTTGTCCATCCTCTCAGTCCTTGTACACACCTGCCTGGCGTGATCACCACACCTGCCTGGCCTGATCACCACCACATCTGCACTGGACAAAATACCTATCAGTGAGGGAGGGAGCTAGCAGGGGAAAGCGCCAAGTCATTACGACTATATAGCACTATATAGTGGGTATGTGGGCCTGCGGGCCGCTCCAAGCAACAGCCTGGTGGACCAAACTCTCACAAGTCAAGCCTGGTCTCTGGCCGGACTTGGGGAGTAGAACAACTCCCAGAACCAGGTATCAACCAGCACTGGGATGGGGTCTGGATAAGGATTTGGGATGGGACAGGGGAAAAGAATGATGTCCAATCACTTGGACGGTTGGGGATTAGTGTTCATAGTTGGTGTGCCAGCCAGCCTGCGGTAGGCACCACAGACCAGTTGATCAGAAACACAAGAGAGGAACGTGGCAATTTTTCTTTATGAGCTCAGTTGGGTTATATTCAGCTCAATCGTCTGTCTTGATAGTACTTATAGGAAGGATGAGGACCATAATACATGTACCGACGGACAACGCAACTAGAAAGTAGAAATCGGTACTATTGAATTTGGACAAACCTGAAAATGATTTTCTGCTTATGTTGCAAAATCATAATGAACTATCATAATGAACATAATGAACTAAGACGATCACAATGTTAACTTAGAGTTATGAAAATCTAGAATCTTTAAAGTATTACAGGATACTAGTTTGATTTCCTCGTAGTGACCAAACTGAAGGTATTGAAGTCAGACGATAACGTTTGGAGTCCACAAAAGGCAACAGGCGTGGAATAAGTGTGGATTGTGAGAACATTGCGACCAGTGATGCCACACCAGTAATGCCACACTAGTGATGGCACACCAGTGATGGCACACCAGTGATGGCACACCAGTGATGGCACACCAGTGACGCCACACTAGTGATGGCACACTAGTGATGGCACTCTACAAAACACTGGTGCCAACTCGATTGAAATATTGCCGCGGCCTTAAAACCTGAAACAAGGCAGACGAGATGACAGAACTGGGGAAGATCAACAATTCAATGTATGAATGGCATGTGTGAAACAGGTAATCCATTGACACTACCTGAAACTACAAGAATGTTGACTCCATGGAACATAGACGAGACTTAATACACACATTAACAAAGTCAGGATGGCCAAGAGCTAAACGTGAACAGTGCAATGACTGAATGTGAGTGACCAACGGACTGACCAGGACAGGTGTAGGTGGTGGGATTAACACACACGTACACACCCTACAGTCGGATGTTGCTGTGCACCGCAGGGACGGTTGCACATGTTGGCATTGATAACGGCAGATATTGATCCGCACACTGTTAAAGGTGCACCTGTATATTTAAAGCCTGGGGGAACAAGTCTAACGTGTGGTCAATAATGCCGTATAATTGTATACTTGCATTGGACGGTAACCTTGAAATGTCTTGGGCAAGAGGGAGGATGACAGATACCTTCAGGGGGGCGGGAAGATTGTTGTTGTTGACCTGTTGCTGTCCTGGCCCAGGTGGTGGGCCGAGCTGGTGGGTGGGGGGGGGAGGGGGATTTATTTATTTTGGTGTTGCTGGCTCATGTGAACACCTGGAGATACTAGACTTACCTAGTTGTGCTTGCGGGGGTTGAGCTCTGGCTCTTTGGTCCCGGTGTGTGTGTGTGTGTGTGTGTGTGTGTGTGTGTGTGTGTGTGTGTGTGTGTGTGTGTGTGTGTGTGTGTGTGTGTGTGTGTGTTGCAGACGTGGCGTGCTAACAAGTGTTGTGTTTCAGAGTCGGTGGTGTCGCAGGAGCTGGCCCAGCCCACACTGGACCGGCAGCAGGCCATGCGCGTGGTGTCGGAGCTGGAGGCCAACTGGGACGTGATAGGCATGCACTACATCGGCCTGGTGGCCCTGGTGGCCCTAGGCTGCCTCATCATAGTCATCATGCCCCTGGCCGGCCTGGTCTTCGCCTGCTGCCGCTGCGCCGGCCGCTGTGGCGCCCAGGAGCCCCACTACGACAAGAAGCGTGACCCCTGCAAGAGGGCCACACTTGGCACCCTCCTCGCCGTCCTTGTCGTCGTTATTCTGTGAGTACCATTCTTGGCCCCCCTTCCGCCTGTGCCACTCACCCCTCTTCCCACACTCGGTCACTCACAAGACGCGCGCGCACCTTCCGAGTGCACCTGTGTTTCCATCTCACCTGGAGAGTCTCACAGGACGTGATTTAATTAAGTTGTTTACCGTTCCGTCACGTTCCAGTCTTGACAACACTTGGGCCCGAGATAATTGTTTAGTCTCCAGCATGGTAATGTGAGGCGCCTGCAGGAGTGGCGCGCCCTCCAGTGTTGGGGCGTGATGGTCCTCCTCCTCCTCCTCCTCCTCCTCCTGTTGCTGGTGTGTACTGTCCTTGTGGCTGTGTTGTTGCTGGTGTGTACTGTCCTTGTGGCTGTGTTGTTGGTGTGTCCTGTCCTTGTGGCTGTGTTGTTGCTGGTGTGTCCTGTCCTTGTGGCTGTGTTGTTGGTGTGTACTGTCCTTGTGGCTGTGTTGTTGGTGTGTCCTGTCCTTGTGGCTGTGTTGTTGCTGGTGGTGTGTCCTGTCCTTGTGGCTGTGTTGTTGCTGGTGTGTACTGTCCTTGTGGCTGTGTTGCTGGTGTGTACTGTCCTTGTGGCTGTGTTGTTGTTGGTGGTGTGTACTGTCCTTGTGGCTGTGTTGTTGTTGGTGTGTACTGTCCTTGTGGCTGTGTTGTTGCTGGTGGTGTGTACTGTCCTTGTGGCTGTGTTGTTGCTGGTGGTGTGTACTGTCCTTGTGGCTGTGTTGTTGCTGGTGGTGTGTACTGTCCTTGTGGCTGTGTTGTTGTTGGTGTGTACTGTCTTTGTGGCTGTGTTGTTGGTGTGTACTGTCCTTGTGGCTGTGTTGTTGCTGGTGTGTACTGTCCTTGTGGCTGTGTTGTTGCTGGTGTGTACTGTCCTTGTGGCTGTGTTGTTGTTGGTGTGTACTGTCCTTGTGGCTGTGTTGTTGTTGGTGTGTACTATCCTTGTGGCTGTGTTGTTGCTGGTGGTGTGTACTGTCCTTGTGGCTGTGTTGTTGTTGGTGTGTACTGTCCTTGTGGCTGTGTTGTTGTTGGTGTGTCCTGTCCTTGTGGCTGTGTTGTTGGTGTGTACTGTCCTTGTGGCTGTGTTGTTGCTGGTGGTGTGTACTGTCCTTGTGGCTGTGTTGTTGGTGGTGTGTACTGTCCTTGTGGCTGTGTTGTTGGTGGTGTGTACTGTCCTTGTGGCTGTGTTGTTGCTGGTGTGTACTGTCCTTGTGGCTGTGTTGTTGCTGGTGTGTACTGTCCTTGTGGCTGTGTTGCTGGTGGTGTGTACTGTCCTTGTGGCTGTGTTGTTGGTGTGTACTGTCCTTGTGGCTGTGTTGGTGGTGTGTACTGTCCTTGTGGTTGTGTTGTTGTTGGTGGTGTGTACTGTCCTTGTGGCTGTGTTGTTGCTGGTGTGTACTGTCCTTGTGGCTGTGTTATTGCTGGTGTGTACTGTCCTTGTGGCTGTGTTGTTGTTGGTGGTGTGTACTGTCCTTGTGGCAGTGTTGTTGTTGGTGTGTACTGTCCTTGTGGCTGTGTTGTTGGTGTGTACTGTCCTTGTGGCTGTGTTGTTGCTGGTGTGTACTGTCCTTGTGGTTGTGTTGTTGTTGGTGTGTACTGTCCTTGTGGCTGTGTTGTTGCTGGTGTGTACTGTCCTTGTGGCTGTGTTGTTGTTGGTGTGTACTGTCCTTGTGGCTGTGTTGTTGTTGGTGTGTACTGTCCTTGTGGCTGTGTTGTTGGTGTGTACTGTCCTTGTGGCTGTGTTGTTGTTGGTGTGTACTGTCCTTGGGGCTGTGTTGTTGCTGGTGTGTACTGTCCTTGTGGCTGTGTTGTTGCTGGTGTGTACTGTCCTTGTGGCTGTGTTGTTGCTGGTGTGTACTGTCCTTGTGGCTGTGTTGTTGGTGTGTACTGTCCTTGTGGCTGTGTTGTTGGTGTGTACTGTCCTTGTGGCTGTGTTGTTGTTGGTGTGTACTGTCCTTGTGGCTGTGTTGTTGGTGGTGTGTCCTGTCCTTGTGGCTGTGTTGTTGTTGGTGTGTACTGTCCTTGTGGCTGTGTTGTTGCTGGTGTGTACTGTCCTTGTGGCTGTGTTGTTGGTGTGTACTGTCCTTGTGGCTGTGTTGTTGCTGGTGTGTACTGTCCTTGTGGCTGTGTTGTTGTTGGTGTGTACTGTCCTTGTGGCTGTGTTGTTGTTGGTGTGTACTGTCCTTGTGGCTGTGTTGTTGCTGGTGTGTACTGTCCTTGTGGCTGTGTTGTTGTTGGTGTGTACTGTCCTTGTGGCTGTGTTGTTGTTGGTGTGTACTGTCCTTGTGGCTGTGTTGTTGTTGGTGTGTACTGTCCTTGTGGCTGTGTTGTTGCTGGTGTGTACTGTCCTTGTGGCTGTGTTGTTGTTGGTGTGTACTGTCCTTGTGGCTGTGTTGTTGTTGGTGTGTACTGTCCTTGTGGCTGTGTTGTTGGTGGTGTGTCCTGTCCTTGTGGCTGTGTTGTTGCTGGTGTGTACTGTCCTTGTGGCTGTGTTGTTGTTGTTGGTGTGTCCTGTCCTTGTGGCTGTGTTGTTGCTGGTGTGTACTGTCCTTGTGGCTGTGTTGGTGGTGTGTTCTGTCCTTGTGGCTGTGTTGTTGCTGGTGTGTACTGTCCTTGTGGCTGTGTTGTTGTTGGTGTGTACTGGTGTGTACTGTCCTTGTGGCTGTGTTGTTGTTGGTGTGTACTGTCCTTGTGGCTGTGTTGTTGTTGGTGTGTACTGTCCTTGTGGCTGTGTTGTTGTTGGTGTGTACTGTCCTTGTGGCTGTGTTGTTGTTGGTGTGTACTGTCCTTGTGGCTGTGTTGTTGTTGGTGTGTGGCTGTGTTGTTGCTGGTGTGTACTGTCCTTGTGGCTGTGTTGTTGTGTGGTGTGTACTGTCCTTGTGGCTGTGTTGTTGTTGGTGTGTACTGTCCTTGTGGCTGTGTTGTTGCTGGTGTGTACTGTCCTTGTGGCTGTGTTGTTGTGTTCTGTCCTTGTGGCTGTGTTGGTGGTGTGTTCTGTCCTTGTGGCTGTGTTGTTGCTGGTGTGTACTGTCCTTGTGGCTGTGTTGTTGTTGGTGTGTACTGTCCTTGTGGCTGTGTTGGTGGTGTGTACTGTCCTTGTGGCTGTGTTGTTGTTGGTGTGTACTGTCCTTGTGGCTGTGTTGTTGCTGGTGTGTACTGTCCTTGTGGCTGTGTTGGTGGTGTGTACTGTCCTTGTGGCTGTGTTGTTGTTGGTGTGTACTGTCCTTGTGGCTGTGTTGTTGTTGGTGTGTACTGTCCTTGTGGCTGTGTTGTTGTTGTGTGTACTGTCCTTGTGGCTGTGTTGTTGTTGGTGTGTACTGTCCTTGTGGCTGTGTTGTTGTTGGTGTGTACTGTCCTTGTGGCTGTGTGTGTCCTTGTGGCTGTGTGGTGTGTACTGTCCTTGTGGCTGTGTTGTTGTTGGTGTGTACTGTCCTTGTGGCTGTGTTGTTGTTGGTGTGTACTGTCCTTGTGGCTGTGTTGTTGGTGGTGTGTACTGTCCTTGTGGCTGTGTTGTTGTTGGTGTGTACTGTCCTTGTGGCTGTGTTGTTGTTGGTGTGTACTGTCCTTGTGGCTGTGTTGTTGTTGGTGTGTACTGTCCTTGTGGCTGTGTTGTTGTTGGTGTGTACTGTCCTTGTGGCTGTGTTGTTGTTGGTGTGTACTGTCCTTGTGGCTGTGTTGTTGTTGGTGGTGTGTACTGTCCTTGTGGCTGTGTTGTTGTTGGTGTGTACTGTCCTTGTGGCTGTGTTGTTGTTGGTGTGTACTGTCCTTGTGGCTGTGTTGTTGTTGGTGGTGTGTACTGTCCTTGTGGCTGTGTTGTTGTTGGTGGTGTGTACTGTCCTTGTGGCTGTGTTGTTGTGGTGGTGTGTACTGTCCTTGTGGCTGTGTTGTTGTTGGTGGTGTGTACTGTCCTTGTGGCTGTGTTGTTGTTGGTGGTGTGTACTGTCCTTGTGGCTGTGTTGTTGTTGGTGGTGTGTACTGTCCTTGTGGCTGTGTTGTTGCTGGTGTGTACTGTCCTTGTGGCTGTGTTGTTGCTGGTGGTGTGTACTGTCCTTGTGGCTGTGTTGTTGTTGGTGGTGTGTACTGTCCTTGTGGCTGTGTTGTTGCTGGTGGTGTGTACTGTCCTTGTGGCTGTGTTGTTGTTGGTGGTGTGTACTGTCCTTGTGGCTGTGTTGTTGTTGGTGTGTACTGTCCTTGTGGCTGTGTTGTTGCTGGTGGTGTGTACTGTCCTTGTGGCTGTGTTGTTGCTGGTGGTGTGTACTGTCCTTGTGGCTGTGTTGTTGCTGGTGGTGTGTACTGTCCTTGTGGCTGTGTTGTTGTTGGTGGTGTGTACTGTCCTTGTGGCTGTGTTGTTGTTGGTGGTGTGTACTGTCCTTGTGGCTGTGTTGTTGTTGGTGTGTACTGTCCTTGTGGCTGTGTTGTTGCTGGTGGTGTGTACTGTCCTTGTGGCTGTGTTGTTGCTGGTGTGTACTGTCCTTGTGGCTGTGTTGTTGCTGGTGTGTACTGTCCTTGTGGCTGTGTTGTTGTTGCTGGTGTGTACTGTCCTTGTGGCTGTGTTGTTGCTGGTGGTGTGTACTGTCCTTGTGGCTGTGTTGTTGTTGGTGTGTGTTGTGGCTGTCCTTGTGGCTGTGTTGTGTGTTGCTGTGTGTACTGTCCTTGTGGCTGTGTTGTGTCCTTGTGGCTGTGTTGTTGTGTGGTGGTGTGTACTGTCCTTGTGGCTGTGTTGTTGGTGGTGTGTACTGTCCTTGTGGCTGTGTTGTTGTTGGTGGTGTGTACTGTCCTTGTGGCTGTGTTGTTGCTGGTGTGTACTGTCCTTGTGGCTGTGTTGTTGTTGGTGTGTACTGTCCTTGTGGCTGTGTTGTTGTTGGTGTGTACTGTCCTTGTGGCTGTGTTGTTGTTGGTGGTGTGTACTGTCCTTGTGGCTGTGTTGTTGTTGGTGTGTACTGTCCTTGTGGCTGTGTTGTTGTTGGTGTGTACTGTCCTTGTGGCTGTGTTGTTGCTGGTGTGTGTGTACTGTCCTTGTGGCTGTGTTGTTGTTGGTGTGTACTGTCCTTGTGGCTGTGTTGTTGTTGGTGTGTACTGTCCTTGTGGCTGTGTTGTTGTTGGTGGTGTGTACTGTCCTTGTGGTGTGTACTGTCCTTGTGGCTGTGTTGTTTGGTGGTGTGTACTGTCCTTGTGGCTGTGTTGTTGTTGGTGTGTACTGTCCTTGTGGCTGTGTTGTTGTTGGTGTGTACTGTCCTTGTGGCTGTGTTGTTGTTGGTGTGTACTGTCCTTGTGGCTGTGTTGTTGTTGGTGTGTACTGTCCTTGTGGCTGTGTTGTTGTGGTGGTGTGTACTGTCCTTGTGGCTGTGTTGTTGTTGGTGTGTACTGTCCTTGTGGCTGTGTTGTTGTTGGTGTTGGTGGCTGTGTACTGTCCTTGTGGCTGTGTTGTTGTTGGTGTGTACTGTCCTTGTGGCTGTGTTGTTGTTGGTGGTGTGTACTGTCCTTGTGGCTGTGTGTTGGTGGTGTGTACTGTCCTTGTGGCTGTGTTGTTGTTGTGGTGTGTACTGTCCTTGTGGCTGTGTTGTTGGGCTGTGTGTGTACTGTCCTTGTGGCTGTGTTGTTGTTGGTGTGTACTGTCCTTGTGGCTGTGTTGTTGTTGGTGTGTACTGTCCTTGTGGCTGTGTTGTTGTTGTGTGTACTGTCCTTGTGGCTGTGTTGTTGGGTGTGTACTGTCCTTGTGGCTGTGTTGTTGGTGGTGTGTACTGTCCTTGTGGCTGTGTTGTTGTGCTGGTGTGTACTGTCCTTGTGGCTGTGTTGTTGGTGGTGTGTACTGTCCTTGTGGCTGTGTTGTTGCTGTGTTGTCCTTGTGGCTGTGTTGTTGTTGGTGGTGTGTACTGTCCTTGTGGCTGTGTTGTTGTTGGTGTGTACTGTCCTTGTGGCTGTGTTGTTGTTGGTGTGTACTGTCCTTGTGGCTGTGTTGTTGTTGTGTGGTGTGTACTGTCCTTGTGGCTGTGTTGTTGTTGGTGTGTACTGTCCTGTGTGTTGCTGTGTTGTCCTGGTGGCTGTGTACCTGTCCTGTGTGGCTGTGTTGTTGTGGTGTGTGTACTGTCCTTGTGGCTGTGTTGTTGGTGTGTGTGTACTGTCCTTGTGGCTGTGTTGTTGGTGTGTGTGTACTGTCCTTGTGGCTGTGTTGTTGGTGTGTACTGTCCTTGTGGCTGTGTTGTTGTTGGTGGTGTGTACTGTCCTTGTGGCTGTGTTGTTGTTGGTGGTGTGTACTGTCCTTGTGGCTGTGTTGTTGTGTGTGTACTGTCCTTGTGGCTGTGTTGTTGTTGGTGGTGTGTACTGTCCTTGTGGCTGTGTTGTTGGTGTGTACTGTCCTTGTGGCTGTGTTGTTGGTGGTGTGTACTGTCCTTGTGGCTGTGTTGTTGGGTGTGTACTGTCCTTGTGGCTGTGTTGTTGTCCTTGGTGTGTGTGTGTGTACTGTCCTTGTGGCTGTGTTGTTGGTGGTGTGTACTGTCCTTGTGGCTGTGTTGTTGGTGTGTACTGTCCTTGTGGCTGTGTTGTTGTGGTGGTGTGTACTGTCCTTGTGGCTGTGTTGTTGCTGGTGTGTACTGTCCTTGTGGCTGTGTTGTTGGTGGTGTGTACTGTCCTTGTGGCTGTGTTGTTGCTGGTGTGTACTGTCCTTGTGGCTGTGTTGTTGCTTGTGGCTGTCCTTGTGGCTGTGTTGTTGGTGTGTACTGTCCTTGTGGCTGTGTTGTTGTTGGTGTGTACTGTCCTTGTGGCTGTGTTGTTGTGGCTGTGTGTGTACTGTCCTTGTGGCTGTGTTGTTGCTGGTGGCTGTGTTGTCCTTGTGGTCTGTGTTGTTGTTGCTGGTGTGTACTGTCCTTGTGGCTGTGTTGTTGCTGGTGTGTACTGTCCTTGTGGCTGTGTTGTTGCTGGTGTGTACTGTCCTTGTGGCTGTGTTGTTGTTGGTGTGTACTGTCCTTGTGGCTGTGTTGTTGTTGGTGTGTACTGTCCTTGTGGCTGTGTTGTTGTTGGTGTGTACTGTCCTTGTGGCTGTGTTGTTGTTGGTGGTGTGTACTGTCCTTGTGGCTGTGTTGGTGGTGTGTACTGTCCTTGTGGCTGTGTTGTTGCTGGTGTGTACTGTCCTTGTGGCTGTGTTGTTGTTGTGTGTACTGTCCTTGTGGCTGTGTTGTTTGGTGTGTACTGGTGTGTACTGTCCTTGTGGCTGTGTTGTTGTTGGTGTGTACTGTCCTTGTGTGTGTTGTTGTTGGTGTGTACTGTCCTTGTGGCTGTGTTGTTGCTGGTGTGTACTGTCCTTGTGGCTGTGTTGTTGGTGTGTACTGTCCTTGTGGCTGTGTTGTTGCTGGTGTGTACTGTCCTTGTGGCTGTGTTGTTGGTGGTGTGTACTGTTGTGTTGTTGTGGTGGTGTGTACTGTCCTTGTGGCTGTGTTGTTGTGGTGTGTACTGTCCTTGTGGCTGTGTTGTTGCTGGTGTGTACTGTCCTTGTGGCTGTGTTGTTGTTGGTGTGTACTGTCCTTGTGGCTGTGTTGCTGGTGTGTACTGTCCTTGTGGCTGTGTTGTTGTTGGTGTGTACTGTCCTTGTGGCTGTGTTGTTGGTGGTGGTGTGTACTGTCCTTGTGGCTGTGTTGTTGGTGTGTACTGTCCTTGTGGCTGTGTTGCTGGTGTGTACTGTCCTTGTGGCTGTGTTGTTGTTGGTGGTGTGTACTGTCCTTGTGGCTGTGTTGTTGTTGGTGGTGTGTACTGTCCTTGTGGCTGTGTTGTTGTTGGTGTGTACTGTCCTTGTGGCTGTGTTGTTGTTGTTGGTGTGTACTGTCCTTGTAGCTGTGTTGTTGGTGTGTACTGTCCTTGTGGCTGTGTTGTTGGTGTGTACTGTCCTTGTGGCTGTGTTGTTGGTGTGTCCTGTCCTTGTGGCTGTGTTGTTGGTGTGTCCTGTCCTTGTGGCTGTGTTGTTGGTGGTGGTGTGTACTGTCCTTGTGGCTGTGTTGTTGGTGTGTCCTGTCCTTGTGGCTGTGTTGTTGCTGGTGGTGTGTACTGTCCTTGTGGCTGTGTTGTTGGTGTGTACTGTCCTTGTGGCTGTGTTGCTGGTGTGTACTGTCCTTGTGGCTGTGTTGTTGTTGGTGGTGTGTACTGTCCTTGTGGCTGTGTTGTTGGTGTGTACTGTCCTTGTGGCTGTGTTGTTGTTGGTGTGTCCTGTCCTTGTGGCTGTGTTGTTGCTGGTGTGTACTGTCCTTGTGGCTGTGTTGTTGGTGGTGTGTACTGTCCTTGTGGCTGTGTTGTTGGTGTGTACTGTCCTTGTGGCTGTGTTGTTGCTGGTGTGTACTGTCCTTGTGGCTGTGTTGTTGTTGGTGTGTACTGTCCTTGTGGCTGTGTTGTTGGTGGTGTGTACTGTCCTTGTGGCTGTGTTGTTGTTGGTGTGTACTGTCCTTATGGCTGTGTTGTTGCTGGTGTGTACTGTCCTTGTGGCTGTGTTGTTGGTGGTGTGTACTGTCCTTGTGGCTGTGTTGTTGGTGTGTACTGTCCTTGTGGCTGTGTTGTTGCTGGTGTGTACTGTCCTTGTGGCTGTGTTGTTGGTGTGTACTGTCCTTGTGGCTGTGTTGTTGCTGGTGTGTACTGTCCTTGTGGCTGTGTTGTTGCTGGTGTGTACTGTCCTTGTGGCTGTGTTGTTGCTGGTGTGTACTGTCCTTGTGGCTGTGTTGTTGCTGGTGTGTACTGTCCTTGTGGCTGTGTTGTTGCTGGTGTGTACTGTCCTTGTGGCTGTGTTGTTGCTGGTGTGTACTGTCCTTGTGGCTGTGTTGTTGGTGTACTGTTTCTCTCCCTCATTATGTTCAGAAATTAACACAACTTTATGAAAAAGTAAGTCGCTGGAGCGTTTTTGATGTAGGCTGGCGTGTGTTGCAAGTGCCTTACAGATATAGTTTACAGGTGTGTGTTTGTGTTGCCTGCAGGCTTGGTCTGGTGTGTTCCTTCGTGACCAACGCCAGGATGGAGGACGGGGTGCAGGGCTTGCCCCGGGACCTGGCCCTCGCCGTCCACGACACCAAGCTCTTTCTCAACAACACCGACAATGTGAGTACCTTCTTTTGTGTGTGTGGTGGGGGTCGAGGCTCTTAGGGTGTAGGTAGTGTTGTCTGGCCCACCTCTTCCCCTGTGGTGCTCCTCTGCCTCTCCCCCTGTGGTGCTCCTCTGCCTCTCCCCCTGTGGTGCTCCTCTGCCTCTCCCCCTGTGGTGCTCCTCTGCCTCTCCCCCCTGTGGTGCTCCTCTGCCTCTCCCCCCTGTGGTGCTCCTCTGCCTCTCCCCCCTGTGGTGCTCCTCTGCCTCTCCCCCCTGTGGTGCTCCTCTGCCTCTCCCCCCTGTGGTGCTCCTCTGCCTCTCCCCCCTGTGGTGCTCCTCTGCCTCTCCCCCCTGTGGTGCTCCTCTGCCTCTCCCCCCTGTGGTGCTCCTCTGCCTCTCCCCCCTGTGGTGCTCCTCTGCCTCTCCCCCTGTGGTGCTCCTCTGCCTCTCCCCCCTGTGGTGCTCCTCTGCCTCTCCCCCCTGTGGTGCTCCTCTGCCTCTCCCCCCTGTGGTGCTCCTCTGCCTCTCCACCGCAGAGGTTAAGAGCAGCGGTTCCACTGCTCTTAAGAATAAAGGAAAGGCAGATGTTCTACTGGTCGATGGTTGGCAGCGTCTACTTATATCTACCCAAACTCGTGGTTGTAATTTGCTATATAATCTAATATACACTTAGAACGATGCTACAATCCCATGCTGCTAAAGTATCCCCTATAATTTGACACGGAAGATATTTTTCCTTGCAGCTTAATAAAGAAAAAGTTTATATCACATACAATTTAGATTTTAGACCCTGGATTTATTATACAATACATTTATAGTTTGAGGATATTGTCTGTTTTGGACAAAGGTTTACTGGCCAGTTTACAAATATAATATTACTGAAACCTTAATAAGTGTTCTGAGCGTAACAAATATATAGATTAATATCCAAGTATTGAACCAGGGAGACTAAATTCAATATCTTTATTATGAACCCCATCCCCATGCCGTGGGCGGTGGTGGGAAGGGTTACAGAGGCACATAATGGGTTCAGGAACTGAACGCCAGAGTTCGTTTAGCTCAGCAAGTGACAATCTTGGGAAGGTAGTTACGACATAATTACTTTACCCTGAGGACGGTCTGCTTATATAATGTGATAACACGTTAATTACAGAATCATTCTGATTATGACTATATGTACACGAAGACGTTATCTTATCTTGAGATGATTTCGGGGCTTAGCGTCCCCGCGGCCCGGTCCTCGACCTGGCCACCTTTTTCTTACACACCTCCAGGAAGCAGCCCGTGACAGCTGTCTAACTCTCAGGTATCTATTTACTACTAGGTAACAGGGGGCATCAGGGTATAAGAAACTGCCCATTTGTTAACGCTTCCGCCGGGGATCGAACCCGGAACCTTCGGACTACGAATCCCAAGCGCTGTCCACTCGACCGTCAGGCCCCTTAGGAGTAGGTAGTCTGTGTATCAAGAGGAAGGTGTGTGCACAGAGCTCCTGAACTCTACCAATGAGGTGGTAAAGGTATTAGGAGTCAGGGTAGACATAATTAACCTAATTATTATTCTAATATGTAAACCGCCAGATGAAGCAGTTGAATACGGCACTTAGAGCCTTGATAACATCATACCTTTTGTGGCGAGAATAGCTGGAGCTGCCATATCCCTTTGTGTGTGTTTTACATCCATAAACTTATTTCAGTTTCAATCCTACCTTGATAATGTCCCAGTCATTAGCTTTCTTGGAGACTTCAATCTACCCAATTTAAGATGGAGAACGGCAAACAATAACATTAGCAGGAACTTAACTAGGAGATAATGAACCACAGGTCAGAAAACTACTGAGATTGTGACAAATGTTCGCTTATCCAACAGATGACGGCTAACTAGGAACGAGAACACACTCGATCTGATCTTTTCAAACAATGAAGAAATAATCAAGACATTACAATCTCGGATACTACACACTCGGACCACAAGCTCATTAAAGTTCAAACTAACTGCAATACCTGTAATAAGTCCAGGAGGATTTAATAAGCGAGAATGATCATTCAGTCAATTAAGTTTCAATAGTAAGAGAGTGATTGGGAAAAAATAAATATAGATCTTGCAAACATTCAATGGGAGACGGAATGTCATCTCTTAGAATGGAGTACTGCTGCACAATGACAGCCCCTTTCAAAGCTGGAGAAATTGCTGACCTGGAGAGCGTGCAGAGATCCTTTACTGCTAGAATCCACTCAGTAAAACATCTAAACTATTGGAACCGACTAAAGAGCCTAAATCTGTATTCTCTTGAGCGCAGGCGGAAGAGATACATAATAATCTACACGTGGAAAATAGTAGAGGGGCTGGTCCCAGACCTGCACACAGAAATAACATCACATGAGACCAGAAGGCATGGCAGGATGTGCAGAATACCCCCGTTGAAGAGCAGAGGTGCAACAGGTACTCTGAGAGAGAACTATCAACATCAGAGGCCCGAGACTGTTCAACACGCTTCCACTACACATAAGGGACATAACTGGCAGACCCCTCACAGTGTTCAAGAGAAGTCGGTAAGCACCTCCAAAGGATACCTGATCAACCAGGCTGTGATTCGTACGTCAGGCTGTGAGCAGCCGCGTCCAACAGCCTGGTTGACCAGTCCAGCAACGAGGAGGCCTGGTCGACGACCGGGCCGCGGGGACGCTAAGCCCCGAAAACACCAAGGTAGGACGGTCTTAGGCGACAAAACTCCCACACAGGGAACATCTCAGCTAACAGCTGAAGCATACAAGGTCTGCTTGAAGCACGTGCCTGTGAGGAGGGGCAGGAAGAGGACCACTCTAGAAAGAACGCAAAAGACTTGAGTTACAGCCCCGTTTCTGTGCCAGGAAAGTCCGCTACGGGCTCACCATAGCCCGTGCTACATGGAACTGTTTTGTTCCCAGTAGCCGAGTCTAAAAGCAGCAGCAGCAGACGACTGCACAAAAGAAAGGAAAATAATCATGGAATGCTTAATCACGGCTATCACAATAAAGAAAAATAAATCCGAGCAGGTAAGTCGAAGAAATAAAAACGTTGAAACAATCATACCAGTTTGAAGAAACTATTCAAATAGAAGGTTATACAAGAGAGAAAGAAAAACCTAAGTAATTTTTTCACATATGCGAAATAAAAATAAACCTATTTCAGTATTGGACCTTTACTTACAACTGAAGGTTCGTACACAGAGGATGACAAGAAATTAGTGAAATACTAAGAGGCCAGTATGAGGCTATGTTTAGTACCAGGATAAACAATATGAAAGTGGAAATTGAAATAAGTTTATTAAGGTAAAATACACACAAAGGGATGAGGTAGATCAAGCTATCCTCACCCCGTTCAGTACAACGTGTTAATACATATATAGACACACATCACAAACAATAAACATATTACCGAACATTCTGAGAGATATACATATCCTCTGAAAGTAAAAGATGCGGACAGTGTCTCTATGAATGACATCCAAGCCCCAGACAATATAACCGATATTAATGCGAACGCAGACAGCTTTGAAAGAAAAATTTACAACCATGGACGTCTTCAAGAGAAAATTGGATAGTTTTCTTCAAGGAGTGCCGGACCAACCGGGCTGTGGTGGGTATGTGGGCCTGCGGGCCGCTCCAAGCAACAGCCTGGTGGACCAAACACACTCAACCTGGCCTCGGGCCGGGCTTGGGGAGCAGAACAACTCCCAGAACCCCATCAACCAGGAGCTCTGTGAAGCTAGCCAAACACAGCCTGAGTGAGCCTGTCTGCCGCTTCCCTCGGCCCATCACCTGTCCTTCACTCGTGTTTCCCTCCTGACGTGACTGTGAAGCAATTGTGAAGTGTATCTGCTTTAGTTCCTGTGTGCGTGCGTGCGTGCGTGTGCGCGTGTGTGTGTGTGTGTGTGTGTGTGTGTGTGTGTGTGTGTGTGTGTGTGTGTGTGTGTGTGTGTGTGTGTGTGTGTGTGTGTTGCCTCTTCACTTGTTCTTACCACACTGAGGTACTCATTGACGTGAGGCCTCCATATGTGGGTAGATGTGCAGTGGAGGACAGACAGGCACCTGTGAGGCCTCCGCCACACCTGCCTCCCCCACCTCCCTCTCTCTCTGGCCACATGTGTGTGGATGGTAGTGATGGATGAGTGGGTGGATGCCTCGGGTAAAATTGAGTGTTATTGATGCTGTGGTCAGTGTTGGGGGGGGGGGGGGAGCAGGCGACTCACCCGCGCTCTCACACCCCCCTCCCCCCCCCCGTCTCTTGTCCCAACAACATGGCCTGACAAAGACCAACATTGCGTGTCTGTACGTATCAGTGTGTACACACGTATGAATGCTCGAAAGAGTTTGTTGTTGTTGTTATGGATTCAGCTACTCGGAACAAGTTCAAAGTAGCACGGGCTATGGTGAGCCCGTAGTGGACTTACCTGGCACAGGAGCGGGGCTGTGTGGCCTCGAAAGAGTAAAAAAGAAATGCTTAAATACAAGTGGGAAAACTCTTGCTGATCAGCTACACTTTATTTCAGGTTTCTACACATTTCCTGGCCTTCAACTTTACTCCTCTCAACACATTGTGACTTAATCCCGGCAGATACCCAGTAGGCACCGTTGGTTCCTGTTGAAATTGAAATAAGTTTATTGAGGTAAAATACACACAAAGGGATGAGGTAGCTCAAGCTATCTTCACCCCGTTCAGTACATCGTGTTAATACATATTATATACACACACATCACAAACAATAAACATATTACCGAACATTCTGAGAGATAAACATATACATTTCCTCCTTTACACATACTACTTGTGTATTGGTTCCTGTTGGTTCCGGGGATCAATGTCCCCACGACCCAGTCTCTGACGAGGCTTCCTAGTTGTTGCCCAGGGGCCAGACTCAAGAAGCAGTTTCGCAAGCACTTACGAACCTGTACATCTTTTCTCAATCTTTGGCGTGTTTGTTTACAATTGTTACAGTTTATGAGCTCCGAAGCACCAGGAGGCTGTTTATAACA